AAAAATGAAAAAAAAACGAAAAATTCAAGTAAAAATCAATTTAAAAGTAAGACAAAAGCAGCCCAAAACAGAAAAAAAATCAGAAGTAGATTCTGTGTAGGCTTCAATTAATAGTGAAGCAGTCCCCCCCCTATCGGACCCGCTGCGCCCCGTCGAGCACTGCCTTCACGACGCTCTCCTTTGTCGTCTTCCAGGTCGCTGACGTTGGATGCCGGCCGCTTCCAGGCGCCCGAGGGGCTGTTCCACCCGCAGGCGTGGGGCTTGGACCACCCCGGCGTGCACCGCATGGTGTACAAGGCGATCCAGGAGTGCAGCATGGACGCCAGGAAGACCATGGCGCGGAGCGTCTTCCTCGCCGGCGGCCTCACCATGCTCCCGGGCTTCGCGGAGCGGCTCCGCGAGGAGCTCGCCGCCCTGCTGCCCCCGGCCGTGCAGCCCAAGGTAATAATACTACTTTGTAAAGCCCTCGTGTACACATTCCATCATTATAGCAGGGGTTTGGGTACTGTGTATTTTTACGGCCTTTCTATTTAGCTCGAAAATTTCAGTGTCTTTTGTAGAGGTCATAGGTTGAATGAAGTCTCCCCACCAGGGGTAAACTACAACACGCGGGGGGCTGTACAGAAACTACGTGGGCTTTTAGGGAGGACCCAAATATTATAGGGTCGCACAAGAATCAGCACAGTCATTGAAGTCTACAGGGGCCGCATGATATTTGTACCCCGGGGCTACATGGTGTCGAATGACTGTCCTGATCCATTTGGTACGCCGTGACATTTGTACCCCTCCCCCCTCCCTTAAAGTCCACATGGTTTCTGAACAGCCCCTCTAAGTGAGATGCCGTGAAAAAATGTACCCCAGCCGCGTGCTATAACAGCCCTCCTTGCTCGCCAGGTTCACGCGTCCCCGTACCGCTACCACGCCGCCTACCTGGGCGCGTGCGTGCTGGCCAACTCGAGCGGCGTGCAGGAGATGAGCCTCACCAGGGAAGAGTTCAACAGGGACGGCGGCAAACTGCTCCGGCCGTGGATCCTCTGACCGTGACCCTTGACCCGAGCTACTACCGTGCTGTACTTGTTGTTTTCTTTTTTGTTTTCGCCCTGCAAAGCAGGGTGTTCAAAACTTCGACTTTGCACGCTAAGCAAATTCAAAGGAGATGTTGTTGTTGATGGTTTAATAAATTATGATCTCTAACTGTTTGTCTGGTTGCACTTTTTTTACAAAGATCAGGAGCTCCTCTGCAGATCACGACGTCATCTCAGAAGACGCGCGGGGTCAGACTGTACACAAGGCCGCAGAACGCGAGTCCCATCGCCGTATGGTAAACGGCCATCACCCACTTCAGCCTGCATAGGAGAAAGGACAAAAAAGTGTCATATCCACATTAGTTTTCGAAACAACCACGCCGAGGGAGGGGACACTCTGCGATGGACCGGGGAAAGCGTATACAGCACCTCTCTATCATTTTCCAGTTCTTCTCCGGATTGTCCTCCTCCTTCAGGGTGTACTTGAGGATGCCGCGGACGCAGGGTATCGACACGGCTCGCAGCGCCTCCTTGGAGTCCCTGCTCGACATCAGGTCCATGATGCAGTAGTCCCTCTCGTCGTCCGGGTGCATCATGGTCTGCAGCTCTCTCAGGTTGTCGTTGTCGAAGTCGAACTGCTTCCAAAACGATTGGGTCGCGTCCAGCGCCACGACGACCGTCCTGTAGATGCCGAGGACCCTGTGGGATAATAGGAGGCAGAGCAACTACTTAATCGTTCATTCGGTGTCAGAGGGTCCCTGTCGTTCGAACTGCTTAGAAAGTTTTAGAAATACTGCTCTACTTATTGTGATGAATCGACCGTTAAAAATGATTTAACCACCCACCCTTTTACAAAGTCTTTCACCCACCTGGGCTTGATTCCCGCCGCCCTGGACAGCATGTCGAGGATGAAGCCGAACAGGTAGTGGTGGTACCACGCCTGCAGCAGGTACCAGGTGTGGCAGGGAGTGTTCTCGAACTTGGGCGGCCGGATCGCGCCCGGGAACGGCACGATGCGGCCCAGCCCGGCCTCGGACACGACCCACGACATGTCGGTGAACGACACGCCCGAGTCCTTCATGATGACCACGTTCACGACGTCGGCGACGGGGGCAGCGTCAGCCGGGGCGGGAGCGGCGTCAGCCTGGGCGGCAGGCCGCCTGCGTCACGGACAGAACGAGGCACTTAACGGCTGCTGTGCGCACAAACAACCACATCACTCTCAAAGAAAATCAGTGTTTGCCCTGCCTAAAAAAATAATCAGACAGCGTCAAAATCAGAGAAATCAAGAAAAGTCGGTGTGCCCTTGCGACCAACGTGCACTCCAAACACTCACGGGAAGGAGCGTCCGATGCCCTTATGCCACGACGCGAGCACGGTGTTCTTGGTAGCCACGTCGGCGGGGACGCTGTTGAAGACCAAGTCCTTGCAGGGCACTATCCTCATGAGGCCCTTGAAGCCGCCGGCCCAGAAGCCGGACAGGCCGTACAGGTTGTCGATCCAGCCCGGGATGGGGTCCTTGAAGGTGGGCACGACTGTGGAGCGCAAGGGAATCATGGGGGTCATGGTAGTTTTTGGCTCTCAGCGAGCCTGCTACTACTCCTCGCCGCAAACCCACCGATTGACGGCCTGGTGATGACGACGGGGAGCTCGTCTGCGACCTCCTCCAGGAGCTGCTCGGCGAGGGCCTTGGTGAAAACGTACGAGTTGGCCTGGGAGCCCATCAGTCTGCGCACAACGGCGAGAGTCAGGTAAAAATTTTAGATTTCAAAATTTTACCACCAAAAAATCAAAAACTAAAAATTCTTTCCCGAAAAATTTGAAAAAGAAAAAGATGGAATTCTTAAGG